TTTCTGAACTTGAACAGCAAATACTAAAGTTCTTGAACGTCAAAATGTTTCTTACTTTTTAACATTTTCCCATGTTACACAAAAAGCCAATATATATAAAATAAATATTTTAAAACCAGAGGATGCACTTAAGAAAAAAATAAAAGCAGAAGTCAAAAACTATGTCTATTGTTTGTGCTACTAGTTTTAACTCAATCCAAAGAAACTAGGATAGTTCTCTATAAAATAATAAAATTAATGAATACTTCAAAGAAGACCAGGATAATAAACTGAAGCAGCAGCATGTGTTGGGGATCAAACACAGACACAAAGAGGCAGAATGGAATGAACAAGCAGAGCTGAGAAAATGAGACATAGGCCTCTTCCCTCATTCCTAAAACCATGCAAAGCAGAACAGCCCAGTGTAATACAAAATGAAAGATACTAAAACAGTGGTTCTCAACCTTCCTAATGCTGCAACCCTTTAATGCAGTCCAAACGGGTTGTGACCCACAGGTTAAGAACCGCTGTACTAAAAGATCTAAGAAAACAAAAGAAAATAGAGAAAGGAAGCCCTGATGATTCAAAGAATTATCTTTCAATAAAGACTATGTTAAAAGATAAGAATATTCCTATAAAAACATGCCAGACAAAATGAAAAGTCCACTAATGGTGGTCACAGCATAGTAAATCAGCTACTGGGGATGCCACAAAAAAACTAAAGGAAAAAGTAGAGGTGAAGAAAGCACACTGATTGGATAGAAAACATAGTTAAGACTCAAGTAAGGTATTCAACTTCTAGAAACTTAGAATTACTGAGTTAAATGAATACTCTAAATGAAGATCAATGCAACAATGTACATTTACTTTGCAAGCGAGATTATGGAATACTGCAGTGGATAAAAAAATGTAGCCAATAACCAAGGTAACAAATTCCACAACTCAATAACCCTGAAAGGTATTATAATACTTGAAAGAATCCAGATGAAAAAACTTCAGGTTACCAATTGAGGATGTGATTTTAACATGTCCTAAGAAAACACCTGGTCAACTGCCATTTTCACAAATCAGAGCAGGGGTGGGGGAAGAATGTCTGTCTCCTACTGAATGGCGTTCCTTATAAATGAAAAGTGTGTATGAAATGGAACTCTGCCTGTGTCTGCAGAAAAATGAGTGAAAATAGTCTGCTAATGAACTCAATTCTCATATAAACTAACCTTTCTCCTTGGATTTTCTATCTTGCTCTCTGTCCCGACTTTTGCTCCTGTGTTTATATGACTTTCGATCCCGGCTTTTTGATCTTCTTCGATCTCGACTTCGAGATCTATGCTTTCTCTCTGATCTGTCATGGCTTCTGCTTCTCCGTCGATCTCTACTTCTTAATTTAAAATAAAAGGGAGGCAACTTTAGCTGATGTTACAATGAGAAAAGGCCTTAAGAAGATACACTGTTTAACGATCAACATTAAGCAAAACTTACCCTTAAAAAAGCAAATGAATGAAACCTACTAAAACATACATTTGAAATCATAATAAAAAATCTTTTAAAATTCAATTTGTCTCAAATAGTGCTAAAATAGTATTCATTGTGCTCTTTAAGATTCTTCTCCAATTATAACTCTAATTAAAACAGTGCGGTTGATTTCATATTTTATGTCTTCTTAAGATGGACGAGAAGCACTCAAGAGACCATCAGGTACACTGGCTTTCTAAAAAGATTTTGTCAACCCTCCTACAAAGGTGCTCTGAAGATGAAACCGATCACAGATTCAGCTTTCTCAACCCATTCTAGCACTTAAGATACTTAAGAATTCCCTAAGTATTAAACCATTCCAAGGAATAACACTAGCAATTACCACTGTTTATTGCACTAATTACCAGGCGGTTTTTGGTGTTTTATATACCTGCTTCGTCTTCTTTCTCTACTTCGTGACCTTTTGTGGTCTCGAGACCGACTACATCTTCGGTCTGAAGTTCGGCTTGAATGCCTACTTCGTGAACGACTTCTCTTTCTTCTTTCTCTGTCCCGAGCCCTTTCTTTTTCTCTTTCTTCCTCCTCCCTTCGTCTTTTTCTTTCTCTTTCTTCCCTTTCTCTCTCCCGCTCTTTTTCTCTTTCTTCTCTTTCTTGCTTCTCTTTTTTTAGACGTTCATCACGATCAGGTTCTTCAGTTCTTTTTCTTAACTTTTCCTAGGGAAAGCAAGTTGGATTTTTACACAATTATAACCTTAAGGATACTGGTTTCCCAATGTTCACCTAATGTAATCTGTAGATCAACTTATAGAAGGAATCTAAAGTTCTTAAGGGAAACGTAGAAATTCCAACACCATGTATATACGTAAGATATCATTACTACCCAGAAAAAAAGAAAACTCATCCTATCATAAAGATATCTGGGCTCGGCGCCTGTGGCTCAAGTGGCTAAGGTGCCAGCCATGTACACCCAAGGTGGCGGGTTTGAATCCAGCCCAGGCCCGCCAAATAACAATGCCGGCTGCAACCAAAAAATAGCCGGGCGTTGTGG